TCTTTCACGGCTTTCGCGCTCAGTCACTGCCGTCATTTTTCGCTCGTGTTTTCCCCAGCTCATCCCCTCTGTTGACATCCAGCAGTCCTTCTTCCGGGCTGTACAAATGCGTTCTCCTCGTTAAACCCACGTCTCTTCCTCCACGAGCACCATCGCCCCTCTGCCCTCCCCTCCTGATCCCCCAGTCCAGAGCACAGATCCCAGCCTCACGGATCGGCTCAGATGGAGAGGACCTTAAACACCATCTACAGTTCCAATCCTTTGATAGGGCTGCTCAGAGCCCCATCTAAGCTGGAAAAGCAATAAATAATAGATAAAGTTCTGCCCCCAAGACATTAATCCATCCTTCATGGCAGAGTGCATTGCTTAAGTGACGCAGAGGAAGTTGCAGTGCACGAAGCACTGTGTGATTTTCCTTGAGTCACTGCTGATGACTCGCATGTCTGGAAGCCACGAGGCAGACTTCCTGTAATGCTGTCATGTCCTGAATTATACAAACTGCTGTGTCAAGGAGGAGAATCATAGAATCATAGAATCATAGAAGGGCCTGGGTTGCAAAGGACCATAACGATCATCCGGTTCCAACCCCCTGGCCTTGAATGCCTGCAGGGCTGGGGCATCCACAGCCTCCTTGGGCAACCTGTTCCAGGGCGTCACCATGCTTTCATGTGGCTACATGAAGTCTATCTATACATCACATCAGAATGCTGCCATTACTGAAGGGATTTAGTTCATCTGTTTGTATAAATCACTTCCGGTTCAAAGCACACCGTGAGATTTGGCATTAAATGATTTTCAAAACCTTCTGGGCACTCCAAAATTACACTGTAAGGCCCAGCATAACGTACGTCTTGCTTTTCTGCTCTCAAAGCATGGTGACGCCCTGGCACAGGTTGCCCAAGGAGGCTGTGGATGCCCCAGCCCTGCAGGCATTCAGGCCAGGCTGGATGTGGCTCTGGGCAGCCTGGGCTGCTGGTTGGTGACCTGCACACAGCAGGGGGTTGGAACCGGATGATCGTTGTGGTCCTTTGCAACCCAGGCCCTTCTATGATTCTATGGTTCTATGGTTCTATGGTTCTATGGTTCTATGAATACATTGTTGGTGAGTATTTAAATCTCTACCCCCCACCTCTCCCCTTCATTCAAATTCGCCATCATCCTCCCCCCGGTATCCCCAGACAGTCACAACAATAACACACACTGGTTCCCCAGATGAGGCTCTGCTCACAGCCCAGCTTCATAAGACAAAACCCACTTGGGCTGCTGATCCCACTCCCTCACCCTCATTTAAGCTCATGGCACAGGAAGACTGTGGCACACGCTGATGCTCCCCTGGGCTGCTCTGTGAGCCACGCTGGGGGCTCAGCAGTGAGCACAGCTGTGGGATGGAGCGTTAAAACATGATCCAGGAAAAGCCTTCTTTTTGAGCGAGCTCTCCTTCCAATGAATGAACTTCTTGTTTCGACAGAACCCTGAGGAATGTGTTTGACAAACAGTAAATATATGTATATAAGAAAATCAAAATGAACGTTTTAAAGATGATCGCATAAATAAAAGTGGCCGAGCTTGCAGAGGAACTTCTGATCCCCAGTATCTCTGAAGCATGGGTGCTGTATATTAGAAACATTTAAATGTGTATTTAGGATGTATTTAAATTCCACTTCCATCCAGGCTTGAAGAATTTGATTTCCATGTCTCTCTTTCCCATACCTGTGTAACTGCAGCTTCATACTCGTTAAGTCTATGCACCTCTTTGTAGGTTCTCTTCAAGTTCCTCAAGTGCACACTAAGAACCACACAGAAAGCCTTTATTTTCAGCCTTGCTTTAGGAACAAACTACAAATTGTTGAAACCTCAACGCTGAACGTTTCTTCAATAGCCATCCTACAAGGGCTCTTTGTGCAACACGCTCTGCCATGTTTCCCTTTGAAGCAAAGGGTTGTGCTGGCTGCTCTTGAAACCATCTGAAATGTCCAGGGTTACGGTTCAAACTCTTCAAAATGTTGCAGTATAAATCTGTAATTCACATCCTGTGCGTAGTTCAACTGTAAATAAGGAAAATGCCTCAGAAGTCAAATATCTACAAAAATTCAAAGAGAACGAATAGATGCAGATACTGTCAAGGTAATACTTGGGACTCTCCCGCAAATAGCAGGAACAGCAAAGAGTGCAGTTGGAATTTGGAATGGGTGACCATGCTGAAAAATATTCCTTTGTAGCTCTATCCCAGAGTGTTATTGTGGTTGTTGCACCTCCTATCATTTCCACAGCATGAAACAGGGGGCATTACTTTCGGAGCAACCCAGGTATATTCTTATCACTACTGCCATAGAAACAATGGAGCGTGGAAGTAAGGAACACAGCAGGATCTGCATTCATTGGGAAACCTGTAAGGAATTATGGAGTGAAGGGCATTTTAGTGGAGCTGTGGTGCAGCCTGAGCTCCGTCAGTACGCACAAATGACATTCTCTCCTATGAAGGATCTTCATCAATGAGAAGCTAATTGAGTGTCACAGCGTATCGTGGATACATTTCCTAGTCAATGACTCCTCACGAGGTTGTGCTAATGACAGTTTGAGAATACCTGCAACATGCATGCTTAGAGATAAACAGCAAGGTGCAGAAAATTGCGGGTTCTTTTTAAATTACAACCATAAAGAAGATTTTTTTTTCCAAAAGCTGAGTTCAGAGATCGATGCTTTAAGTCACTGTGTTTGAGTTCTCTTTGCCGTGCATTCATATTCCATTCCTTTGGCCATAGAACCATGACACCTTTACTCACAATGTCACACATTTATTGCTTAAACAGATGCTATTTAGCCCCACTTAGCAGGTATGGATTCGGTGCCTTCAGCTCAGTTTCACATATTTCAGATTTGAATTCGGATATTTCGGATGCTGCAGGCACAGCAGCCCTGAGCTCTGCTCACTCACACTGGAGCCTTGTTGAGCACAGAATTAAATGCAGTGATCTGGGTGCCCATGTTGAGGGCTGTCATTTATCCTGGCACGCCGTCCCCGATGAGCGCATCGCTTTCTTCAAAAACAATGGGAGGAATCAGCTCCAAAAGTGACACCACGGAGCACTGGATGCAGTTTCCTCAGCAGCTGGTCTATGGCTAAAGATGTGTGCTGCTGAAAAATAGAATCGCGGGATGGTTGGGGCTGGAAGGGACCCTAAAGGCCATCTGGTGCCACCCCTGCCCTGAGCAGGGACACCCACAGCTCCATCAGTGCTCACAGCCCATCCCTGCCCTTGGCTGTCTGCAGGGATGGGGCACCACCGCCTCTCTGGGCAACCTGTGCCACTGCCTCACTGCCTGTAGTATTAAAATTTCTTCCTTATATCTAATCTAAAACTCCCCTCTTTCAATCTGAAACCATTTCCCCGTGTTCCATCCCAACTGCTACAGACTGTCCCAGTGTAGCAGTAGGTGCTCCAGGTCTCAGTGCACTTACAGCACACAACCTGGTTTATGTTTGGAGCACTCTTATCAGCGCTGTGCACATACACAGGTGTTGGGCTGTGACTGGTAGGGGAGGAGATGTGGTTGCAGTGTTGCACAAATTGGTACCTTCCACTGGCTGAGGAGCTGCTTCATGAAATGGAGGTGCAGAGTGAAGATCACAGAATCCCAGAAACACCAAGGCTGGAAAAGACCTACAGGATCACCCGGCCCAACCATCCACCTGTTGCCAGTAATTCTCACCAAACCACGTCCCTCAACACCAAATCCAGATGTTCCTTGAACACCTCCAAGGTCGGTGACTCCACCACCTCCTTGTGCAGCCCATTGCACTGCCTGACCACTCTTTCAGAGAAGCAGTATTTCCTAACGTCCGGCCTGAATCTCCCCTGGTGCAGCTTGAAGCCATTCCCTCTGGTTCTATCACTGTTACACAAGAGAAGAGGCCGACCCCCAGCTCAACACAACCTCCCTTCAGGTGGCTACAGAGAGCAGCGAGGTCTCCCTGAGCTCCTCTTCTCCACACTGAACAATCCCAACTGCTCCGGAGTTCAGCAGAAGTGATGGAGGCTGTGATAAGGATGTGTGATCTCTACTGCCCCAAAGGGCCGGAAAGCAGTTACAGTTCTTGACAAACCAAACATTGCCACAGACCTGAGCGTCGTTGCTTAAGGAGGAGGGACAGTTCCATCCTTCAGAAAGTTTCATTATTCCCCCTTTATTTGAGTTACTGCTTGATAGCAATGCATGGCCCCAGAGAAGATCTTTTAATTGAAACCTTAGAGATCTGTGGTGTGTAAGTATGCAGGGTGGACAGAGGTGCCTAGGAATGGAGAGCTGGGAAGCGAGAAAACGGAAGCTGGGAAATAGCTGCCAATATGTCACCTGTATCCTATAGGTACACCTACATTTTGAATTGCTTCTGAACCACCAGTAGCTCTTACAGGCACTCACATGAGAGAAGAAGCTAGATAAGGAAAGGGATGTTCGCAGACACATTGAAGAGACCGGGCCTGGAGTATCTCCCATAAGAAAGGCTGAGATCCCTTGGGCTGTTCTGTTGAAGAGAAAGAGGCTGAGAGAGATCAGATCGTCGTATATAAATATCTAAAACACAGGAGTCAACCCGATGGAGCAAACTCTTTTTGGGGGTGTGCAGCGATGGAACAGGGGGCAGTGGGCACAAATTGCGGGGCTCTCCTTCTCTGCAGACATTCGAGACCCGTCCGGGCGCCTACCCGCCCGACCTGCCCTAGGGCTGCGCTCCGCATCGCGGCTGCACGCCGGCATTTCCCAGCGGAGCTCTCGACCCGCTCGGCGGCTGCGGGCGGCGCCGTTTGCGGGCGATCCTCGGCGTTCCGGCGGGACGGCACCGGACGCGACCGCGTGCCTCCGGGCGGGCGAAGCCGCGGCGGCGGGAAGGGCCACGTGGCGGCGCTAGGACCCGGGCGCCACCGCGGGGACGTTGGAGGGAGGGGCGAGCGGACGCGACCCGCAGCGCCAAGGCGCTTGGCAGACGGACAGCGCCGGGTCGGACCGGAGAGCGCGCGGGGAGAGCGGGCGGCGGGGATCTCCGAGCCGAAGCGCGGGCCGTGACTCAGGTACCGTAACGAGGCGGAGCCGGCCCGCGCGATGCCGAGGAGCGCTCGGCGCGGAGGAGCGCGGTGGGTCCGAGCTGGGCGGGCGGGGGGCGCGAGCGGAGCTCCGTACGGCCGCATCCGACGGGTCGGGGCCGCGGGGCGGTGGGAGCGGCGCGGTCCGTCCCGGCTCCTCCGGGCGAGGGGCTCCGAACGCCCCGGCCGCGCTTCGGGAGATGCCCGCGGGCTGCGATGCTGCGGGCTGCCGGTCGGGCGCTGCCACGGGCGCGCGTTTCTTGCTCCTCGTCCGCTTATGTACCGGCCATGTTAATGGAAAACCCGTTCCCAAAGGCTGCTGCGGATTCCCGTTCCCCACAAAACCGTGGCCGTGTTTACCTCCCCCGTTCCCCGACCCCTCCTCCCCGCTGGGCCCCGCAGGGCTTTCCATTCTCTCTTTGTTCTGTCCAACAGTTTGCTGCCGCGTGCCCTTCCTTCGGGCCTTTCCATCTCCCACCCTCCGTCTCCCCACACCCAGCCGTCCATCCATCGCTGCACTGAGGGTTGATCAACCCATCCCCGCTCCGTGTTCCCACGGCTGTTACTCACAGCCCGGGGTGACACAGTCAGTTCCCGCTGTGGGTTTATCCATAGCATCGCGTCCCTTGCGTTCCCCGCTCCAGCTGCTCTGCGGGGGAAGCTGTTTGCCTTTACAATTAACGCGTTAGAACCGGGCTCTTCAAATTATCTGTGCTAGTCAGGTGACGCTTTGGTGCCTTTATTTCTCCTCGATGAGCACATCACCAGCGAGCGCCCCGAGCTTGGCTGGTGCGAAAGCAACGCCCTCGGGTTGCACGATGAGCTGTTCCTGCGGCTCTGTCCTTACCGAGAAGGAAGCAGCTCTTTTAATCTCGAGGTGAACGCTTTCCTTAATTACAAACACAGTCGGTGGCAGCCCGGTCTTCTCCGTTAGCACAGGGGCAGACACGCTCTGCTCTCACCCACCGCCCTACCAGCAATTGGTGCTCTTTACTGAGAAGTGAACGTGCTCCTCTGAAAGCCGTGGTTGTTTTTTTCCTTGCGCCACACCTATTGCTGTAAGTGCAGAAGTGTGGCTGTCAGCATCCCCCCGGGTGCCCTTTCCGAGCAGCAGTGCTGAGCGTGACTCCAGTTCTATGTGAGTTATCCCACTGCTTTCAGTGCACTTTCAAAAATAGAAGTTACAACGTTGGACCAAAGTGGAACCCTTGCGTCACAGCCATTCATTTCAGCCCTGTGCCCACGGTGCTGCTTTCACAAAGCCGCTGTGCCAATTGTTTCCTTATTTCAATCTCGCGTCAAATCAAACCGGTGCTGAGGTGTCTGTGCGGTGTTTGCTTGTTCCTGTGCCACACAACGGCACTGCTCCGCTGTGCCAAGCTGTTGCATTCCTGTGCAGTGCCTCAGGTTGGCAGGTGTGGCTGGAATGGCTTCACACAGCGTGTGGAACCACACATGGTGCTCAGAAACCCACGTACTTCTGTGTCTGTCATCCCTCCCCGGTTACATGCCCCCCTCCCGCTGCAGGTGCTGCTCTCACAGCTTCTGCTTTACGTTTGGGAACTGCTGAGCTCTGTGATTTAACAAAGCACCGCTCCCTCGGGGGTAAATATTGCAAAATGAGGCACCCGCTTCCCTCTGTGGCAGCCTGAACCCCTTTGTGGCAGCCTGAACAGGGCGCTTTGTTCAACAAAAAGCCCTTGAAGCTGCTGTCTGTGACAGTGTTACCTTGCTGAGGAGTTCTGTCACTGCCTGTCTCCCATTTGGGTGCTTTTTCTTTCCTCCACCCTCAGAACAAGGTGAAGGAGAAGGCCTTTCCCTTTCAGCACAGCAGCTCCTCTGTGTGCAGCACTCAGCCTGGCTCCCACCACCTCTGATGTCAGTACTGCTGTTTCTCTTTTGATCGGATGCTGTTCCTCCTTTGGTTTTAATGCCCACAGGCAAAGGCAGAGGTCTGTGACCCCTATTGGTGCACTGGATGGAGCACTCTGTGCTTTTTTGTGTATCCATCCCCCCTCTAAATTGAGGATCGTTATTGTCTTTGTGGCAAGGATGGGTGTCAGCTCGGCTGTCTGCCTTTTAGCTGTGGGATTCTGCCTATTTCCAGTCCAATATGGAATCTCAGTGTGGAACTTTTTGCTTTCTCTCTGATGGCCGTTATTTATCTCTGGCTGAAGGCTCGGGGTGATGCACGTATCTGGGTGTTAAATGCATTCTCGAGGCATGTAGGTCAGCCTCCATACCCCACATCTCTCCCACCCACACCGCTGCCCCTGCAGCACTGCTGCGTGGCAGTAGGACAGTGGCTGAGCACCACTATGATGTTTTTCCCGTATCCACCTTCAGTTATTTATAATACAGATGCTGTCCTTCTGTGTACAACAAACCGCGGCACCAACCATCCCAACAGCAATGCTACCTCCAGTACTCCCAGTCCCTAAAGGTGCTGTATGTAGGGGACAGACTCTTTAGCAAGATCTGTTGGGATGGAATGGGGGGAAATGGTTTCAAACTGAAGGCGTGGAGGTTTAGATTGGATATAGGGAAGTTTTTACACCGTGGGCAGTGAGGCAGTGGCACAGGTTGCCCAGAGAGGCGGTGGTGCCCCATCCCTGCAGACAGCCAAGGGAAGGGATGGGCTGTGAGCACTGATGGAGCTGTGGGTGCCCCTGCTCAGGGCAGGGGTGGCACCAGATGGCCTTTAGGGTCCCTTCCAGCACCAGCCATCCCGCGATTCCTCCTAACTGAGCCCGTATCGGTTTCCATGGCAACATGAGGATAATAGCAGCAGTACGAAAACACGCGGATTTAACTCCATTCTCTGCCGTGTAAACAAGTCCGTTACCAAAGGAAGCGCCCATCTGTGATGGAGGAATCCGGAACAGAACCCATCGCTGCCGTGCAGCGCTGCACGCAGCTCTCAGATCCTCCTCAGAGATGAACGGGGCGAATTTCAGCCGCGTTTGCAGCGGGGCCGTTCATTTCGTGAGGGTTGTTCGGGCGTTTGTTAAAAGCGATGAGCGATGCGCGAGGTGCCGGCCGGGGCGCGGGGTGTCGGAGCGCGGGGCGGGCGAAACGCAGCGGGCATCGCCGTCCCGCCCAGAGAGCGGCGCTCCGCCGAGCCCCGTCAGCCCCGCCCCGCCCCGCCCCGCCGCGCGCCGCCCGGTCACGTCCCTCACGTCTCAGTGCGGCGGCCGCCGGCTCGCACCCTGCCGGGCTGACTGGCAGCGCCGCACGTCGGCGCGGTGCGGTCACGCGGGGCCGCCCGGCGTAGCGGGCTTCTGCCGCCCTTCCCTTTTTGTGAGTGCGGAACCACGGAACGGCTCCCGTTGAAGGAGACCTGAGAAATCATCGAGCTCCGCCCCGTGCCGTGGGCGCCTCGGGCACCTCCAGGGGCGGCGCGGCTCTGCGCGGTGCCACCGCGCTCAGTGAAACTCGACGGTCCCTTCGTGCCTCGCCGCCCCTCTGCCGGTGCAGCCCGAGGACCGCTGGCCTTTGAGCCCGCAGCGCACGCTGTGCCTCGCGTCCTGCATCTCACCCATCAGAGCCCCTCCTCCTTCACAGCGCTGCTCTCGCTCTGTTGTCTTGTATCTGCGATCGCCCCAACCCAGGCGCAGCGCTTTGTGCGGTGTTGTCTTAAGCCTCGCTCGGCTCCCATAGGCCCAGTTTTTGAGCCAGGTCGCTCCGGATGCCGTCATCCCTTCCGCTCAGCTCAGCACCATCAGCAGTCCCACTGTCAATGATAAAGATGTCGAGTGATAAAGATGTTGAGCTGTCTGATCCCATGACAGAGCCCTGGGGGTCTCTGCTCATCAATGCCCTCCACCCACAGAGCCACTGCCCCCAACCTCCGGCTGTGTCCATCCCACTGATTCCTTATCACCAAACACTCCAGCCATCAAATCCACATTGTTTCAGTTTAGAGATAAGGATGCAGGACCACGTCAAAGGCACAGGTCCAGGCAGACAACAGCACCGGCCCATCCTTTGTCCACCAATGCCATCACCCCACCACAGAAGGCCACCAGATGGGTCAGGCACAGTCTGCCCTTGGTGCAGCACATTGCTGTTGCTCAGTCGGTGAAGGGGACTGTCTACATCCTGTGCCGGCCTGCAGAACAGGAGCAATGGATGGCAGGAGCCATTCCTTCCTGGGGCTGAAGGTTGCTGTGTTCACTGCTGCTCGAGTGCTTACAGAGCTGCTGGCCTCATGAAGGTGTGACATTCTGCATGCCTTCTCTTTGCTGCCTTCTTTTACTGCTTTGAAGAAATTAATATCTATCAAGAGCGTTTTATGCCTTGTATCATACAGATGTCATTAGGAAATACGAACCATTCTGAAATGGGACAGGTCCCTGTGTTGGAGGTGCAGCTTCAGACTTTGATTTACCAGCCCCAAACTTGTGATAGTGCAGGAACTAAAAAGACAGGCATCTTTTCACATTGTTATGGCAGTCAGCACATCGGCCATCTGCGGTGCCAGACACCTGGAGTCGGGTGACAATCATATTTACTAACAATCATACATTCAGTGCTCACTTTTCTTGACAAGTCTGTGCCAACCAGGCGGGGACAGTCTGGTTCTGAAATAGAGCTGTAAAATGGCATTGTTCCTGGTGACCCAAAGCATTCTTTAGTAATGAACATCCTAATCAACTGCACTTAAATTATCAAATTTTATACATCTAAGCTTTCCTGTTGGTTTGGGCCAGGACTTGTGATGTATGTACCAGGACTTTGTGTCCCGAGTAGCCCAAGAGCTTCCTCTACCAATGCCTTGTAACAAAAATCCCAGGCTTAAAAACTAGTTGTTTCTTTCTACAATAGTCTGTAACTTCAACTGGAGTGCACAATCTGCCTGTTTGGGATAGATAGCTGTCCCAATATGTATCAACTGATTTTTGTCTTATTTCTTAGGGAACCCTCGTGAGCTGCATCATGGGAGCAGTGGTAGTTGATGATGGTCCGTCTGGCGTCAAAGCTCCTGATGGAGGCTGGGGCTGGGCTGTCCTTTTTGGCTGTTTTATCATCACAGGATTCTCCTATGCCTTTCCAAAGGCAGTCAGTGTCTTCTTCAAAGAACTTATCCGGGAATTTGGCATTGGATACAGTGACACTGCATGGATTTCCTCCATTCTGTTGGCCATGCTGTATGGAACAGGTAGGCTGCTCGGTTCTGAGGTGATACTGCATCATGCAGTGGTGTCTGTAAATCATACTGACATTTACAGTGTGAATCATGGTTGCTTATTATTGCTCGTGTACAAGTAAGGCATTCAAAAATTATCGTTAATGCATGTAAATCCAATAATTAGTTAAGTACATCCAATTTGCATATAAAATCCAACCTCTGTAACTCAATAGATGCTAAAGATGGTGAAAAACTGCACAGCAGTACAAAGGAACAGAATATCTGACTGCAGAGGAAAGATCACCCTCTGGGATTGGCCTGATACAGGCAGGGTATGGGAAGAAATGTGAACTGGAAAGAAGCGTGAACTGACATGAAACCATTGGTAAGAACTGGTTTAGCTTTGCAACTGTAACTTGCTCTCTTTGCCAGGTCCGCTGTGCAGCGTGTGCGTCAATCGCTTTGGCTGTCGCCCGGTCATGTTGGTAGGTGGCCTCTTTGCCTCCATGGGGATGGTGATAGCCTCCTTCTGCACCAGCATCGTTCAGATCTACCTCAGCGCAGGGGTGATCACTGGTAAGCTGCACATGTGGCTGCAATGGGCTCGGCCTGTTTCCTGGCGGTAGGCTGATGTGTCGTGCTACCAACATATCTAAGGGATCAGGATGATCCAAACAGGCTTTTAGTAAGACAGCAGATAAAATTAGAATGATTTTATGTGTTTATTCACCTATTTATTTATTACGAATGGCATCTCTTTCTGGTATGTTTAACAGCTACTGCTGTTATTGGTGAAGAATAACAACTTTCTCTGCTCCCTCAGGGCATTAGGTGATACATATAGGTTTCTCCAAAAGTAATGCCTCCTATTTATTTCCATGGAAATAAACACAATAGAAGAAAAAATATGAAAATGTTAAACTGAGCACTTTGTATTCAGACAGATAACTCTCCTAGAGAGGAGTATGACATCTAGAAATTACAGTGATTGCAAGTATTGGAGATACTCTACATCTCATGGAGTGTAGCTCGTATTTTACACACTAGGAGTTCAGTGTCTTCTTTGGACAGGTTTATCCATGACCATGGGTGATACTTTTGACTAATATTTGGACATTATTGGATTATTTGACTAATATCTGGACATTAGGAAGTATTACTTTTCAGAAAGGGTGGTCAGGCACTGCAATGGATGCCCAGGGAGGTGGTGGAATCACCGACCCTGGGGGTGTTCAAGGAAAGGCTGGATGTTGTGTTGAGGGACATGGTTTAGTGGGAGCTATTGGGAATAGGTGAACAGTTGGACTGGATGAGCTTTGAGGTCTTTTCCAACCTTGGTGATTCTATGATTCTATCAGAATAATAGCGAAGTGGGGTTCTCTGACACCTGTTACCATGGAACTCTTTTGCTCATTTGCAGTAAAACCAATCTTAAGTCATCAATCAGAAGAAATGCCACTGATTTTTCCTTTTTTGACTGGCACTATTGGAGGGCTGTGTCAACTTCTTGTCCCTTCTGTTACAGGTTTGGGTCTGGCTCTCAACTTTCAGCCTTCGCTCATCATGTTAAACCGCTACTTTGACAAACGCCGACCTCTGGCCAACGGGCTGTCAGCTGCTGGGAGCCCAGTGTTCCTTTGCGCCCTTTCACCTCTGGGGCAGATACTTCAACACGAGTATGGTTGGAGAGGAGGATTCCTTATACTGGGTGGGATGCTGCTCAACTGTTGTGTATGCGGAGCGCTAATGAGACCTTTGGAGCCGCCCAAAAAATCTGAAGCTACCAAAGAACCTGCTGAGAAGAAAGCAAAGAAAAAACTCCTGGATTTCAGCGTGTTTAAAGATGGTGGTTTTGTGATCTACACGCTAGCAGCATCTATCATGGTGCTCGGCCTCTTTGTTCCCCCAGTTTTTGTTGTGAGTTATGCCAAGGATTTGGGGTATCAGGACACCAAAGCAGCTTTTCTTCTGACGATTCTGGGATTTATTGATATCTTTGCTCGTCCCATTTGCGGAATGGTAGCTGGTCTCAAGTGGGTTAGACCACGTTGTGTCTACCTCTTCAGTTTTGCTATGATTTTTAACGGCTTTACAGATCTCATGGGCTCCATGTCTGTTGATTACGGTGGCCTGGTGGTCTTCTGCATTTTCTTTGGCATTTCTTACGGAATGGTAGGTGCTCTTCAGTTCGAAGTTCTCATGGCTATTGTTGGCACTCAGAAGTTTTCCAGTGCTATTGGCTTGGTGCTCCTGGCAGAAGCGATGGCGGTTCTGATCGGCCCGCCGTCAGCAGGTCAGTATCCCATTTAGTTGAGAATTCAACACCACTGACATTGCAGGCAGACAAAGACAACACGAGTCACTCACAGTATGCATGCTGTCCTTGTGTTGCACATGCTTACAATGACTTTGTGCAGCTAGAATCAGAAATAGCCCAAAACAGGGAAGGAGATTTTGTCCTTCTTGTATCTGTTTGCAAGGATTGGTTGAGCTGCCATTTGGAGGTGCTGCTCTTTTTGCAACGAAAGCCTGAAGTGCATCTCCTGTTCAACGCATTGTATGAGTTTCACACACAGTAAATGGGATAAATTCAAACCTCTTTGGAGTTGAAATTCAGTATGAATCCTCTCAGTTTTATCTGGAAGGTAGTAGGGCAGATTCTCTGTACTTATGGTAGGTTTGAAGGATGAAAGAAAAATTTGGAAGAGGAGGAAAAAAAAACCAATCAACCTGACAAAAAGGGCTCTAAAGCATCAGGACTGTTCCAGGGAAAGCAGACTGTGCTGCACGTGTCTTGTAATCCTAAAGTATGGCAACACTGCAAAATATTCAGATTCCTGAATTTGTAATGGCAAGTTCATTAACAAAGTGCATCAATTTAACAGGCTGCACCAAAAAAAAACCCCAACAAACAACTCTGCTGGTTCACAGTTTGATCTGAAGTAGAACAGCAGTTGCCTCATCTCTTGCATCTGAAGGCTGCATTGCTTTTATTTCAGTTGAGCTCCTGTCAGTGTGTGCAGGGCAGGACACGTTCCAGGATGTGAAGTACTTCCAGTCAATGCTAAGCTGAAGTGAGATAACAGAAATACTTTGTTGTAAACTTATTTACCTGCATGTTGTCTTTTTCAGGAAAACTCTTGGATCTGACACGGCGGTACATGTTTGTCTTTATTGTCGCTGGAATTGAAGTTACCACTTCAGCGCTGGTGCTGGCCTTGGGAAATTTCTTCTGCATTAAGAAAAAACCAGAAGAACCACACACAAAAGAAGCAGCAGCAGAAAGAGAGGAATTAAACAAATCTGAAGACAAAACTCCTGAGGATGCCAAGGTGGACTCTATTGAGGTGGAGCAGTTCCTAAAAGATGAGCCCGAAAAAAACGGCGAGGTCGTAACCAACCCAGAAACCTGTGTGTGAGCACAGCACAAAACCCACACGGCGTTCAGAAGAGGGTCAAACAGAATTTCAACACTATTTATTTTAGAAATAGAACTAGCTTAGGGCTGGGCCGTCTGCTTTATTAACTGGAGGCCGGTCAGCTCATCGGGTCTCTCTGGAAGCTGATTTACTAGACAACCTTTCATCAGAAAATTAGCTTTATCATTGAAAGGTGAAACGTTGTGGTTATACTTTTTATGTAAACAAAAAAGCTTTTCCGAACACAAGTAGAGTTTTGCCATGCATCACCAGAAACTGCTCACTTGGCAGAGATTGAGGAAGGAATTATGTGTACGCTTTCAGATAATACGGGTGAAATTGCTGTGTTGTGTGGCTAAATGTAATTTCCCTTCCTGTGCTTTTTGGGAAGGGGAAAGAGGTTGAGATGGAGAAAAATCTCAGGAACTTAAAGGTCTCCATTAGGTCTTTGAATTTCTTACTTTTTTTAGACTTTCAGATGAATTGGCTCAGCCCTAGTCTAATTTTGATAATACCTGTTACTTTGGTTTATGCAAATGTATTTCTATGAGTTTTGTCTAAACCTGTAGTCTTTGTAATTGTCATCTGGAAACTCTGTCCACAGAAAGGCACATTGCAGGCACTGTCCTCAGCTGATCACACAAGCCCTGATCCTAGGGAACACTGAAAGGAAAATAAAATGAGTAGATTCGATCCCGACAGACAATAAACAAAGTTCATCTCCACTCGTATACACTGCTCTCAGCTCAGCTTCTCTGCAACACTGAAAATTATTACAGGTATCATCCAGAAGATGGACAGGAGGCTTAGTAGAACCTTCTGAAAGTGTTTTTGTTTTGTACATACATTTTAATTGTCCAGATGACATCTATCAGGCACGTGGCCGTTGGGTAACTTAGGGGCAAGGTTGGGACTGCTTTGAAACTTGTTACTGTTACATCTTTGATATGCAACATCAGCAACACATTCTTCCTTTAATGTTTAATTTACCCCACCTCCCTCTGCTTTATTAATCTATAGAAGTTCAGAGGGCCATTGTGGTTGCTTAAGATGATGGAACTGCTGATCACATTTTTGATGGCTCTGAATGAGAGCTCATCAAGAGCTGGGCCTGCTCTGCTGCCTGTTTGCTGCACCAAGGCTCTGTGTATCCTTACACTGTGCTTGGCATCAGATGAGGAAGGGGACGTAACACAAATGGACCCGACAAGACGGGCAGCACTGGAGAAATGCAGAAAGGGAAAAGATTCACTGTGAGGACTTCAAGTAGGAGAAGAAGGTAAAAGGAAGGCATTCTCTATTACATGTATAAAAAAATAGAGTATATTGTCTATACTACATTTTTTTCCCCACAAACACATTGAAAATATGTAATATTTACTATAAAATGATGCTATTTCAGCCCAGTTTTCAGATACATGTATAAAAAGCCCTGTGGGATTTATGAGTGCAGTAACGACCTTCAAAATAGGCTTAATTGCAATGGATTCTATTTTCTTCTCAGTAGGGAATCTAAGGCAGAATACAAAAGAATTAGTTGCCCCACGTGATCATTTTAGGAGATACAGTGCAACCAAGGAAGGGCCAAAACCACAACCCAGGGGATTATTTTGGAAACCAGCTTCCACTCTGCTAATTTCTTCACAATGGTTTTGCATTGCTAGGACAAATTTAAATCTTAGGAACACCATTTTATTTTTTTTGGTAGCAATTTTAAGCAGAAATGGATGCTGCACTCAATAAAGTGTTTATTTTTTATATTGGATACAGTGCAGTCCTCTTTCCTTTTCTCTCCACTGCCTTGACTTCCTTTGAAGGAAACCTCCACCTGTGCCAGCTGCTCTGCCTGCACAACCACGTCTGTGTTAAGCTGTGCTGGGGCTTCTGCCCAACTGCTTCTACAGCCATAGCAAAATAGGCCTTCATTCAGCTCCTCCTAATCCAAGATGTATAAAAAGAAAAGCCCCAAAAACCCAACTAACATCTACTGCATACTGGAAGGGAAGGATTGTATCTGAACCCTTTAGCAAGAGCAGCCTGCTTCTTACGAATCTCACTCTGCTTATTGCAAACTCATAAGGAATTGCCTTCAAACTCTTTCAGGTCTTTTTGGTGCAGCATTGCTTTAATCTCAGCACTGTTGAGGTGGAAATCCCTGAATTCCTAACACCCCTTTGTGCTCTTGTATTTGGAAGAAATAGGCGGCCAGTCCAAGAATGGCTGAAGAGGTAACAGTGGGGTGCAGGGGCAGTAGAGCTGCACAACAAGATGTGGATGAACCCTCCTGTGTTCAGCCTGTGACTTGGGTGGAAGACAGCAAGCTACACGTGTCTCAAAGGCCGTGCCGTCATTTGCTTTCCATCACACACTGCTGGAGCACATGTAACTGCAGTCAGAAACCCAGGTGCAATATATCCATGTCTGTACCTGCATATAGGAAGCAACTGACAGATTGCTTTGCAGGTATTTCTCCAGAACTGATGAAGAATCTCTTAGCACACAGGCTAGCATAATTCTCAAGTTGTTTGGGCCTTTGAGTGTTCTATGAATTGAGATGATATAAAGGACTGAACAGATTGTTAATGTTTAAACCCAACAAAACAGGCGTTAGGTGATGTAAAATCATCCTCTAACCCAACCACATTTCACAGTAATAGTTCCCAATGCACTCACGTACACACCTTTGTTCTCTCCCAAGAAAAGCTTAAATTTGGTAGAAAGCCCCAAGGGATTTGCAGGAGCACACAAGCATTACATGTGACAGCAGTAAGTACTGATTTGTGCACCTCCCTCTGTCTGTCTACTGCAGGTCTCTTTGGGATGACAGGAGTACACTTTGGTTTTGTGCAACAAGATGATTTGTTTCCTGTTAATGCACTTTAATGTTACGTGTACGTTTATACCTGGATTTGTTTGATGCTTTTCTAGTAAACTGTTGCAAAAATAGTGAATAAATATTTATTTGGTTATCAAAAGCTGTGGATGTGAGAAAATGAGATTAGAAAGAAAAATTCTACCACCCAGATTTGGTGACTGGGCTCTGCTGGATGTGCTCACAGGGCCATACAGCAGCAGTGTCAGCATCAGCAGTGTCATGATCCCTGTGATGCTCTTTACCACACTTGGATCTTGAAAGCTTCAAAGAAAACATTAAGAATGCACTTGTGGTGTTTTCTGGGCACCTGGCTGAGACCTTCTCAAAGTGCATTCCCAAGGCTGCACCCACGTGAATCAAAACCACAGTTCCTTCAGCGTAGGAAGAGCTCCGTTTTGCTACCCAGAAGCATGGGGATTTGGAAAGTTCAAAACTATTTTCACACAATTTTGAGCATTTCTGCTGAGAAACCTTGGAGGAATCCCTCCAAGTACAGCTTCAAAAGTTTCTGTGTATGTACACTCTGAAAATCCTAGATCTAGTTTACTGTATATAGATATATACACGTCTAAGATATCTAAATAGGTATTGGAACAAAAGTATGGTCACTTTTTAAATGCTAGTTTAGTTGGAGAGGTGAGACTTAAGGTCTAACCAAAAGCTTTGCTATCCCACTCGCCAGATCAAACCACATTCTGCTGCAAGAATGAACGTTACCAGGTAGACCAAAGCCACAGAATTAGCTATCATATGCTTATAGCACATCCACGGGAGAGAAAACCAGTTTTACCTTTGCCTCTCTTACTCTCCTGAGCCTGAAACAAGATGGACATCCACTGTGAAGGAAAACATGCATGGCCTGAACTGCACTGCTCTCTGATCCTGCTGCTGGACCCGTAGTGAGGAAACCAAACTGCTGAAGGAAGGCGACCTGCTAACGTTTGAAGAGTGAACGACTCTGGAAATAGCAGAGGCATCGCAAATGAGAAGCAATGGTTTTGGGATGTATATCTTAATGGCCTTGTCAGTGCTCAAGGCCCAGAGCTTGTCTTCACGTGAGTAGAAAGATGCAGAACTTACAGCTCTTAAGTCCCTCTCCAGTGACACAACCTGGATGATTGGCAGTCCTGTGTTCATCAGAGACAGCAAGGAAAGTGAAGAGGCACACAGAGTAAAGGACTGCTTACCTCTAATTACGTGCTGCTTGTTCTTGGACCAGTTTCAACACCTGCTTCGCTTTCTCAGCAATATTCCAGCTGGCAAATTCCTCATTGACCCTCTGAATGCACTACAAAAATGAGGATAGCTCTTCCCCTTCTGACTCTGACTATTGCTGTTTCAGAACTTAAAACGCTCTCAGTAGAAAGCCAAAGCCAATAAAGAACTGCATCTAGATTTTAATCTTTACACTTCTTTAATTGAAAAAGTCTTTTTAGCCATGCAGAAAGAAGTGCAGTAAGATCTACAGGTTCACAGCACCAATCTTAAAATGTTACTTTTTAGCAGTGGGAGCAGAGAAACACATTTTCTTCCCAGCTGGTAAGGTATCAAATGATTTCCTACTCTGCTCCACCCCTCCCCCCACCAGCATCTTGAACGGCCACAAGAGACAAAAACACAGACAGCAGCAGACCAGGGCTTAAAGCATTAGGATACAACAGATAATTCCCTCTTTTGCCACGTTCCTGTTTGTTCATTATATCTGTTTTTTTTTTTAATGTCTGGTTCTTACCCACGTCTGACAGTGCAGAAACTTCCCCCGTGTAACATTAAGAGATGATACCATGCCAAAGAAGTTTTGCCTTTTATGTATTGTGCTGTTTCATGGACTGTGTATAAATAGATGATCCAGTTTTCCTGTTGTCCATCTGCCTGCAGCACGCGACAGTTTCATTCAAAGAACACAAATCATTCTATTTCTGTTCAGGAGAAAAACCCCACGAACATCTGAGCAGTGTCCTTGTGCACATACTCACAGGATTCAGCTCACAGGATTCTGCAGTGAAACAGATTCTCACTGAGGATGGGGCTGCTGAGTGCTCTCCTGTTACAAACACGCTGCATGGCAAAATGCTTCACACAACACAGATTCACAGTGAAACGCAGGCCCTGAAAAACCAACGCTGTTTTTAATAATGAAGTGCTGCAATCTGTAAGGGCAAAAACGTGCTAACGTGTCTCATTCAGTTAACTGCAGGAGCTGCACTGTTGTAAGATTAAATCCACGGTGGATTAAGCTTCCTCACAACTGAATTAAACCTACATTTCTGACCATATGGTTCAGCACTATTAAACAAACAGCAGCATTGCCTGTACACGTGAAACGAGCAATGTTAAAAGGAGCTGCTTTTGCCAAGTAGAATTACAAAACCCCATAAAATAAATACTTTTTATTTTGTTCTTTTACAAAGAAAAAATATGACTGAAAAGAACAGGTTACACTCCAGCCGACGATCGACTCACACATCCAAAACCCCACTTTAAAGGTTCTCGTGGGGAAACTCCATTTCTGCGAGCGTTGCCCCAGGCAGCTTTTACAGAGCAGCTGCCACTCGGATTTGTAACACAGAAAGGCAGACACAGGAGCTGTGCTGGGGCAGCCCTGCTCCGCTGCAGAAGGAAGGATGAGGTGCTGCCACGTGCTGCACAGCTTCCTCCAAGGGAGCTTTCAAGTTCGTTGGTGATGCTAACGTGGAACACACAGACTACCTGCAGGCCTTTACTTCAGTACCTCTGCTACAGGGTAACATTTATTTTCAGTTATTTTCAAGGTATGTGTACCACAGAGAGGTCAGGAACTTGGTAGCCATCACGATTACGTACAACTGGAGCACAGGTGATGTTTTCCACATTAAAGTACATAGTTTTAAGTGAGATTAAACTAATAATACGTCCAGCTTTTCAAGGCCTATTCATCAGAAACAGAGTACTCCTCAAGCTATTTGCCCTCAGATTTCCTTGTGAGGACTACATAGCAAAAGCTGGTACCACACAAGGCATTGTGGGCATAGTTGCTTTGCTCCTACCTCCCGGAACCAATCCAGTCTCGATAGCAGTTCTTTCCTGTACCTCCTCTCACTACAATGCATCACTTGTTAGATAAAGCTCTTGTGACGATGACTTCTAGAAAAGAAGCAATACTCAAACAGAAACATACAGAGACAAAAGAGGTGCCCTCTGCCAGCAAAGCAATGGATGTCTTTTTCCCCCTGCGTACCTTACATTCTTCATTCTGACCCTCAGTCCTTCAGCTGACATTCTAGCTATCACCATTTCATCAAACCTTTGCAATGGACAGCGTTCTATGTACAGAAATCATTAAAAAAAAGATTAAAAAATGTTACATCAAGTAAACAGTAAAGAGCCGTTTTAAGTAAGTTACACCAAAGAAGAATAGAAGTCACTATGAATGTATTTACACAATTGTTAAAGTACACAAATACAGTGGTAGTACAAATGAAGTGCTCTGATACTGGTTTCCAATACACAGGTTTATACAGACAGTCTAACGATGTCCTGCATGATGGAGTTTAACTGTTACGAAGGAGAAAAACTGCCCACAACTGAGAACAATTCTAGAAGTCTGCAATCAACTTTTAAGTATAGCACAGCAATCTAATGTTCCAGATACAGAGAGAATAAAGAGGCTGCTGCCTTTGCAATCCCTCTAGCAGTACATTATTAACCACAGATATTTACAAGGAAAGCATGGTGAAGTGTAAAACTGTTCAAATGTTGGTGCACATGCCTAAAATACCAAAGGTTATAGTGACTGAGGAAATAATTCTCTTATGCAAACTTACATGGATCCAGCTCTGTAGCTTTCCCACTACACTAGCCAAAACACACTGCCCCTCAGACCCAGCACAAGCAAATACTCAATGTCCTGAAATCACCTGAAAACAGCCAAAGGAAAATGAATTGTGTTTAATCAATGGATCTTTTTGGGGGGAGGAAACAGTGAATTTGCACAGTTTTAAATTAAAATCATTCTTCCTAAAACTTGGAAGGCCGGTAAGCCTTTAACAGTTTGGGTTTTCAGCAGGGAAGAATTTCTTGCAGTAAGTAACCTTAAACGACCCTCATAGGTGCATTTTCATTCCCAGCATGGAACCTCTCATGACTCCTGTAATAATGGTATGAAGAATACTTCTGGTACTGTTTCAAGCACTACTTGGACAAAATACTTATTTCTGCATTATGAGACTGTTTACAGTGGCAATAATATAAAGCATTTTCCATATTTAATAAGGACATTTTTGCTAACAACACCTGCAACAGTTTTTTGGACAACCAAAGCGAGCCATCCATTCCTAGCTAATGATTCTAGAAATACTCAGGTTGAATACAGTTTGGAATTAAATGTGGTACACACCAGAGTTCTAAAACTCCTCAGGATTTCATAGCAAGAATGCTTTGATTCCTTTTTGAGCCTTGGCATGAAACAGAAGGCGTGAATCAAAAGTGTGGCTGGTTTCTGTCTGATGCTAAATGTGACATTCATTCACCCAAGTGGCAACATGCATTGCCCACCTGCAACACCCTCCAACCTAACCCACCCCGAGTGCAGGAAACAAAATGGTACCAACAAAAGCAGCATTTGAAACCATCCGTTTAAACTCCAGTGTCTTTCACTTTGTTCTTCGTGTTCTTAACAAAAGAAACTGATTTTCACCACTTCTCCTACACTGAGGCTCTCCTGGAGTCTTCCATTCTCTTTTATGCAAAAGAACATCAAGAATTCCTTTGTGTTACATGGGGAGGTAAATGGTAAGTGTGAATGAAGACATGGAACAGTAAAGTAAAACTCTCAACAGTTTTAAAAATCGTGAGAAAACCTTCTCAGTCAGAATGAGACAATACAAAGAAGTGAACGTTTAAATACAATCAGATGACTTTGATTCATTTACATGCTCCCTGCCAAACTGATTTTTTTTAAACAAATTTCAAGTCATTGTCTTTAGTTTAGGATTGCTTGTATTCTACATTTTTAAATCAGAGAAAAGCAAGAGTTCTTTACAGAGAATTAAGCCAATAATTTTAGCAAAATGATACAAAAACTTTCTTAAAC